TCGGGCGGCGCAACATTCGGACGAGCCGTTCCGACATTACATTGTGTGGATTCGCTCCGCCGAGACACTCCGAAGATCCGGTAAATCGGGCCGGGGGAGGGGGAGGGGCGCGTCAAAGGACTGAAAACCTGTGTAAACGGTTCCCGAACGTTTTCGAACAAACCGGAGTTACGTCCGGCGGTCGTTGCCCCGCGGGGGCCTTTAATTTTTGAACGTTTTTACTTTCTTTAATGGTGGCGCGGGGGGTGGTATTGTTATTATTATTTATTTTTTTTTTGCGTGAAAACTCCGGATTCTATAAAACGACGCGAAACAATTCTTTTTTTTTTTCTATTTGTTTATAACCGGTTATCGACGAAAATTAAATCTAACGGTTCGATTTAACGGTATTTTTTTTAAAAAATTTTGTTTATAGTGTTTACAATAGCAACGTTACACTCGTCAGCGAGAGTAGATGATTTAGACAGTGGCGCGGTAATAATACAACAATAATAATACAATATATGTGTATACGACTCGGATGTTTTTTAGAACCGTTGTCCGATTATTTGTATATTTATCCGATTATGTTGTTTTTTTTCTCACAATATCTATAAATACAATAATATACACTCGTCATAAACACCCACTTCTCGGAAACATTATTAAAAAACAATAGTAAAAACGCTATTTTTCGGAGCACACACGCGCGTCACTCACACATAACATAATATAGGCACTTAAAAAACATATTTGTTTACGCGCACCGTATACAATAACGCTCGCGTATACGTTACACGTTTCGATTACGTTTTTTATAACAATTATTATTAACATAATAATATTAAACTGACTTTTTTTTTCGAGGTGTTTTTTTTTTTGTAAAAGCATCACACGCCCTACGTACCTCCGGCTCGCACAATATATTATTCCACATGTACCCAGGCGTTATCAAAGCTGCAGGACAGCAACCAGTTACATGGTTACAAAAAAGTTATTTTGTTACTAAAATCGGTAACTATGTGACTTGTAAGTTACTTTTTGTTTTCTTGTGACGTGTAACGTAACGAGTTATTTTCTATTTGAATAAAAATAGCTACAAGTCAGTTTTCCTCGTTTCGACGCCGGTATCTCGCAACTCAGAATATTTTTTTCCCGAGAACGTTCGAGATGGGCAAACAAAAAATACAGCGCGATAACGTTCCGTTACTACGGAAAAACCGTTTCCAGCATCAATTCGTGAAGGTTATCTTATCTATTAAAAAAAAAAAAACGAATTAAAAAAATTAACTAGCGACTTGCGACGATTTTTGACGAGTAACTTAATATTAAGTTGGGTTTTTTTTTTTATATATATATATATAGGAACTCGAAACTCGACTATGAGTTACTTAATCAAGGGAAATAACTGCGACTTGCTCAGCATTACAAAATCGAGTGACTCGCCCGGGTCCGTTATCGTTATCGTTATCGTTACCCGTTCCGGTGGCGGTTGGGAGGGCACGGGTGCGCGTTTCCCCCCCCCCTCCCCCCTGTCAACGGACGGAAATCGGTTTTAATTTATATATATATATATATGGATGTGTATAATTGTTTATAGTTAATTAATTCACTCTGGAAATACATAAATAATGCGCCCCCCCCCTCCACTCGCCTCTTTGAAAATTGGCCGGATCAATAAATATTTCTCTCAAAAAAAAAACAACAATCGCAATAATAACGATCGATCAACACATCGGTTGGTTTATAACACCGAGCAGTCGATCAAACTGGTTGTCGCGTCCCGACGGCGGCGGCGGACACGTTGGGCCGCGGGTACAAAACGATTCCCCCCTCTCCGGGCTGTCCGCCGGCCTTATAGAGGTGGAGCTTACCGCGGCGGCGGCGGATTGCGCGTGTGGTGTTTTTTATGCGACTATTAAAAGCCGTATAAAAACGTACGTTACGACTTATTATTAAAGTGTAAAAGTTAATTATCCGATATATTGTACGTATTATAATACACCTATAATAATAATAATAATAATACCCGGTCGCGCGAGTTACAATACACCTATACACACGCACACGCACACACGCACACGCACACACACACATTTATATATATTAATAATCATAATAATATTATATTATAATACACCTATATAGTAGTCATAATAATAATAGTATAATTGAAAATTACATTTTTTTTTTTTTTTAATTTTTTTTTTACGACGCCTATCGACACGTTAAATACATTAAATAATTATAATACATTATTTATGGGACGCGGCAAATAAAAACGGTTTTCAACCGAACGGCCGTTATTTTAACGTCCGTTTACACGTATTAAATTGATAATACGTTTTTTTTTTTTTTTTTTACAATACGATAAGTATAATAACTCGTTGTCGCGAAAACGTTTCGACCCGTTAACGTGTAAAACGGTTTTATTCGGTTTTTGTATATTGCCAATTAAAAAAAAATCTAAACGGTTTAGGTGATTTTTTTTTTTATGAACGGTTTTTGTGAAAAAAAAAAATAACCTAATTCCAATCGAGCTATCCCTAAACACGCGCGTTTTCAAATGTTTAAACCGAAATCCATAACTATAGCAGACCTATACACTTTATTTACATCGATTATATTTTACTGTACACATGCAGTGTTTATTGGATTTATTTCGCTTGTGTACAGGCCTGTTGAAAATGACTTTAAAAAAAAAAAAAAATAAAAAAACATTTGAATATAAATATAAATACTTTGTTTTTCAATGCCTACGTTTGATATGCTACTAGAAAGTGTTGGAAACTATTTGAAACTTATTTATGGACATTTGATTTAAACGGGTTCAAGAATTTCTCATTCTGCATATTATTTATTATTAATTATTATGTTAGTAAATGAGCTTATTGGTTGGCTTTAGATCGATAGATTACGTTAAAATGACATGTTATTGAGTTATAACTATACACATTTTGTAGAAATCTTATTACAAATTATTAGAAAATATTGTCATAGAAAAATTTGAAATTGGAAATCGTAAAATTATGCACTAAAAAGACGAGTATTTTTAAAGTATTAGAAAAACCATCTTTCAAAAAGCATTTGAATAACTTAAAATACTTAAACTTTTACTTGAATACTTTACAAGACTGATATTATGATCAGATTTTTACGCAGATGAATATAATATTGTAATAAATAATATTTGATCCGTTAATATGCACTTTTCTTCAGCTCTACTGCTTTTTCCGGTCCTCTAGTCACACACACACGTATGTTATATTATTATGACGGCGGGACAGGGAAAGTGCGGCTGGGAAAAGGGGGGGGGGTGGTAGAGGATGTAGGCCTTTTATGGTAACTCGATATTAATATTGACGGGTCGGTTTGGCACTGTTTAGTGCGGAACTCACCGCCGCTGCAAACGCCAACGCTCAGATTTCCGTATGTAGCAAAAGAGCTTTTTAGAGCGGCCCATCACAATATTGTTCACCCTACCGGAACGATATGCCGGGAATGTATATCTAGGGGTTTTGCTGTATTATATTATTTTCATATTTCTCCCGACAGCAACTATTATACGTTTTGTTTGCAGGGATTATTCAATTTCCAAAAGCATCGTTTTTACTTGCGGCCACCGTCAGTGCATTCGACTGATAATTTCATTAAAAAAAAAAAAAAAAATGTAAAATATTGTCCAAGTATAACCTTTTTAATATGACGTACGTTATCGCGTCAATACCCGTGCATATTCGAAGAGCCAAACGATGAATGTATAATATTATACTATAATATTTCGTACACCGATCATTTTCCTCAAAAAAGAAAAGAAAGTCACTAGTTTTCTAGTACCAGGTACACAAGGTGTCCCACTACGATGATCTGTCACTTGAAATAACTTATGTTCTATTCATAATTTTTTTTAATACAATTATTATGCCTCTGTATTTCATGTAATATATTACACTTTTTTTTTAGGGGAGGGGACTTAAAATTGTACTACAAGTATATATGTTTTTTTTAAAAAAAATTCAAAATAACTATTCTGTAAAAAAGTTTTAAAGAAAATGTTTAGGCGATTGAAACCTATGTGCTTTATATGGTCTTTTATTTCCTGAAATTTGTCGAAGTTGCAGAAAATTTGAATGATATTGTGGTTTATAACCTTTGTAATAATGTTTAATCAGCAGTCAGTAGTATTTCTGTGCGTTATCTGTAACACACGGAAAAGAAAATCCTTGTAATTTGATGCGTATTTAGATAGGAAAACAATAATTACCGTAGATGATAATAATAACACGGTAGAGTATACAATGTAATACAGATAGGATATAAGTATTTATCTAAAGTTTAGGATTTGATATTAGTTTTATACATACAAACAGCAAATATTTAACACCTACAATAGAATACCAGTGCCTAATGTGTTTGAGTTAAATGTAGGTTGAATAAATAACTAATTCCATACCTAAACGCGACGAACGCGTTTATTCAGAAATTGATATTAATTTATGAATTCACACCCGCCCATAAATATCTATGTTACACACCTAACGTAATGAAATTTAGCGTTAATTTAAATTCAACACTATCGATATTCAGTAGCTACCACTTAGATTTTCGGCAGGACGATGTAATTATGAACATGAAACGCCGTGTACTCGTGTTACAATTTTTTTTAATTTTTTTAGGGCGGCTCGGTGCCCCTGCGGCATTGTTCAAATCGATTCAATCAAATATTCGTAAATTACTAATGATCAATCCATCGGTTTTAGTATGGAAATTTGTTCGCTAAAATATTGCGCAATTTAACGGTACGCGGATTTTGTGGAGCGTGACAATATCTAATATTTTGATAATGACGGAAAAAGGTCTAGATGATTGATTTATGATTTTTTTTTTTTTCAGGAAAATTGATACGATCTATTTGTCCACTAGTCTAACGAGAGTAAATACAAAGGCTCGTGTCAAAATCGCTCGATTTTATAATATATTATATTTTTCATTTTCTGGTCACCGATCTTTTGATTGGTCGGTTACGGCCTTCCATCACGCGTTTCTCTGTCAAAACCCAAATCCTTCAAAACTCGGCACCTTTCCACTCCCGTATCCGTGAGAATTCGCTTGCATTCGTGTTTATTCACAGCGTACACGGGCATGGTTTTCAATAATCTATCACTTCGACAAACTATGTATCGTGGTTTAGTGCGCGGCCCTTCATATACACGTTTATCCATTCTACACATTTTCTTTTGATAACTCGCCGAATTCGCCATTTCCCCATGCCCTCCCTTTAATTTCGCCATAAAACTCGATTGTATTTGTTTCCGCTCTGTCGCGTTTTTAATATAATATAATTATTATTCTGTACTATAACAACTGCACTTTGATGTAGGTAGGTGTGTTAATATACAGATTGACGCTACGTAGCCGGTTCGGGTTTGTCGTTCATAACTGCGCGATAATATAATCTTCTCCGCGGACGCTTTTTCCAGCAGTCACAAATTAAGTGACAATTAACCGTTGTTGTCAGGTGTGCGCGCGCCTGCCTGTATCGACAAGCATCAAAGGCCAAAGGGTTCCCTCCGTTTGCGCTCCTCGTGTTTACATTATTATAATATTAATATTGCCAGTCGGGCGTATAAGTACTGCAACGTGTACACACATTATATTAGGCACGCAATATAAATAACGACTCTGTAGTTTACGCTCCGTGTACATGGATACGAGTTGTTGTTCAATATAATGTGATCCCGACGCAATTGCATTTTTTCCCCTCCGGTCGTTATTATTCTCTCCTTATCAAAACCGGGCCGATATAATAATTATTAATTCATAATAACAACAACATATTTGGAGTTTGATCGTATCGTCCGGACCGAACCCATGCGCGGCCTTTGATGACCCGCCGACACCGTACACTCTGTACAACCCGACCGGGGGACCGATATTTCCGAAATAACAATATGTTCGATTTTCACCGAACGCGGTAAACGAATTAATCGCAGGATTCGATAGGGTTCGTATGTCCTAGAAAAACATTCGAAAAAAACCGTTCGACCGTTTACCGTGCGGTGTCATGCACACTGGTGAGACATAATTGTAAATCAAAGTCTACGCGCGGTGTACTGAACAATAATATTTTCGTTTCGTTATCAACATCAAAATGACAGACTATGAAATTGCCAATTTGTTTCTGCGATTCACAATCTAGAAGAGAATGAAAACGTTGCGCGGCGGCACGGAAAACCAAGAGCGAATCGTGTGGATCCTTTCAATCCGTCGGACCGATCATTAGATGTATATATATAAAAAAAAATTAGATTAGAACAAAGTGTTCAAATATACATCATAATGAAAGCGCGATCCCTCTCTACTCTCGGAATCTTGAAACAAATAAACGTTAAATTTTTCATCCGAGATTCCGGTCCTCTCCGCTGTCCGTCTATCTTGTTATCAACAAGAGAATTGCCACTCTCCAAACAATAATAATTTTTTTATACCTACGGTTAATTTCACATTCTGTCCATTTTTATATTCGACCCATTAATCGGTTTGTCAACTAAAGGTCAAAGAATGAAGTCGATTTGGTTTTTAAATAAAAATAGGTAATGTAATATTTACAATATGTTTCATCAACAATAAACCTATTATAATTTCATTGTCACTAAAACGTAACAGGCTTTCAAATGTTTTGAAGTTTTTACATACTCAATTGACTCGTCCTATAATCCAATAAAGGAGATTATATTATATGTTGTGCAACACAAATAAAACAATAATAAAAAAAAAACCGCTTGATAAAAAATAATAAAATCATTGTTTTACAGTTAATCAATTGCGTGTTAGACTGCTTTAAAAATAGACTGTGACGATTAAAATATCGAATTTTTATATTTTTATTGATTGCCCAATTTGAATTAAAATTTCTTGAGGAAACAGACTGATGATTTTAGTCCGAAGAAACGTTTGGAAGAGAAATATGAAAAGTCCCCCGCTTTCTTTAGGGGGGAGGATGTGGTGGATAGCGATGGAAAACGGTATTTTATTTTCGGGAGAATAATGTAACCCTCAAATTTTCACTTTTACCAGAGCGGTTTTTTTTTTTTTAGATTTTGTTACATTATATTACCGTAATAATACTGCGGAAAAGATGTCTGTAATATTTTCGTTTCTCCTGTATTAATTTTTGTAGGTTTTATACAGCTACGCACGCATAAAATGTATTATTTATTGTTTGCTTCTGTTTTTGTTTTAAATAGCTAACGTTTCGAATGAAAAAATTAAAATTAAAAAAATCGTTTTACGTTTAGCGCCTGAGAGTTTATTCATTGTAAAATAGTATGATATTTCTGTTTCTATTGGACCACGATCGAAGTATATCTATTGTATTTTGTCGAATCGCGAATATTTTTATCGGGGTTTTTTTTTTATTTTAGTAGTTTTTTCGTGTATCACGTATCATTCTGGTTTTCGCCGTATAATGTCTACGATTAATTAATTAAATTCGTAGAGTTCTGTCCTCCGCACAATTTAACGCGGGTAAAATTTATTTACGCGCGGTCGTTTAAAAAATATAACAATTTATTTCATATTTTGTAACAATTTTGTAAATCATTGTACATATACTTTGAATATCCCAGTTCTGAGTGACGGAGGGGGGCAGCGAATTTCCGATCAAAAGGGCTGACGGGGTTCAACCTTTTTTCGTTATGAATAGTGGCAAAGAAATAACCCCATGCTGTATCCCTTTCTCCCGCCGACCCAAACTTTATATGGTTAGAATATTATTAAAAAAAAAAAAAAAAAATGATCGATTCCTTTTAATAGTCCAATCGCTCAAACGCCAAAAAATTCCGTTAGTATACAAATCACGAACAGCGATCAACGAACGACGATCAGTCAGTATAACTTATAAAGTATATAGTAAATACGTGCGACTTAGAGATCATTCGAACATCGTATTCTCGGTAAATGATAAAGTTTATTTCGTCTATGAGATTTTATATTTTTTTTATTTTGGATACCTACCGCCGCAGCAGTTATGACCTTCTTAAATATTATTATTATATAGTATATAATATAGACGCCAATTTAAATTTATTTTTAATAGACCACCTACGATGTATATTACTTTACGTATATTACTCGAAATAAAAATGTAATTTACCACTAAGTAACGCGCGCGTTAAACAAAAATCAATAAAAAAAACAAAAAAAAAAAAAAAACACGCGATTATAAAAATATCCTGCTTTTTTATCAGTTGGGCACCTACCATAAGAAACAGGTTTTTAATTTTAACGCAGGTATAACAAAAAGGATATAAAATACTCAAAATTTAATTGTTTTTTTTTTTTTTTTTAATAAATTTAAAATAGTCATAATAGTTATAGTGTTATATTATTATACACATAATACAAGTATAGAAAATACACGAAAATTTATTAATGTAAAATGTTGAGAGAAATTTATATTAGCTGTATATTATATTATATACCATTTAAAGTTATACCTATTATGTATAGTGAGTCCTTAAAATATGCCATAGAACTGGGATAAGTACCATCATCTTTGCGTTCTATACTCGTACGTATATTATAATAGTATGTACGTGTAATATTGTAATCAAACGAGATTTACAAACGCTATAAATTCGACCCGAAACGTTAAAAAAAAAAAAAAAGAAAAATACTATTTTCTTATTTCATTAACAGACCAATAAAATTAAAATAATATTTAAATTTATGTACTTCGAAACTACATTTTCGCGGAATAGTATAATTTTTTATACGCGTTTACGACTAAGTAATTTTTTTTATGTAGTAAAATATTATACTTCGAAAATTATACTCAGTGTACGTATTGATACCTAATATTTAAAACTCATTAGTAATAAATTAATAAGTGCGATTGTTATTCGAATTTGATCGTCAAAACGACACGCATATCAGCCTATACATGGTGATTTTTTATATCATGAACCAGCAATTTTCTCGGATGATTTTAAATGAATTTGATTGCTGTTTTTTTTTTTTATTTTTTAATCATTATTGAATCGGTTAAACTTTATTTTAAAAGCATTTTTAATTTTTTATCCCTGCTCAATATACCTCAAATAAGTATGTATTTTTGTTTTTCAAACAGCTAAGAAATACCATTTTTAAACAAAAATTTGCACAGATTTGAATGGAGAATATTTTTCTGGACATTTTAATATATGCAAAAAAATAATATCTGATTTACCGTTTATGAGTTTACAAACATTAAGAGTTTAGACTGGAGAAGTAGGGAAAAACAATAAATTGCATGATTAGAGTGCAATCACTCAAAAAAAAAAAAAAAAAAAGAAAAAACAGAAATCAAATTCATTTAAAATCCTCCAAGAAAATTACCGGTTCATGATAAAAAAAAAAAAAATCACCCCATATATGCGTACAGGCGTGCCTATATCGAAATGCCGTAAAAGTTCTTACTTTTTAAATGAGTCTTGCGTTTATCTCTTGTTCTCGGTGTATAAATAAATAAAAATACGTTCATAAAACCCGACGACCGACGAGCCATGTTATATTATTACAAAACTATGACGAAAGGGCGCGAGAAACGTAGTTGTCTTGAGAGTCATGAGATTTCGTTACAAATAACGGTAACAGTAATTTATCGTAGAGACAGAGAGAGAGAGAGAGAGAGAGAGAGACATAGAGGGAGAGAGAGAAAGAGAGAGAGAGAGAGATAAATGATGAAATTATCGCGTACATATACCAGCAATATTGAAAAATGACGAAGGCGACGACGGTTAGATTACCGAGCAAAGATTTCCATTTTGTCCTATAATAACCCACCCCTCTGTGATATTATATAAAATAAGGTTAGCATCATGTGCTGCAGCAAGTGCAGTTAACCCGGGCTTACCTTACCCCGCTCCCCCAATTCTGTATGTATACATATATATATATATATAAAAAACTCGTGTAAAAAATGTCCGGTGGCGTGAAATCTTCGACGCGATGAAATCCGCCGCACTACACTTGTGTTTACACTGCACATTGATTGGCGATAAATCCGCTCGAGACGCGAATGCCACACCACGAGGGGGGAATAAAAAAAAAAAATAAATAAATAAAAAAAAAAAACGGAGCGAGAAAAAAACGCATCAAATTATACGCATAATATCCGAACCGACGGGCTTTACACACGCTGGTGGTGTATTGTATAAAATAATATATAAATGCGCGCGCGCGCGCGCGCGTGTGTGTATATATACGCGTGTGTAATACGCCACTTGGAGGAGGGGCGAGAGGAGACAAGATTTATTAACGGGCGACCGCTAAAGTTTAATAACGTGTAAAAACAGTTCCGGCGGACCCTTATTAAAAACCGAAATTTATAAGCGTATTATGCTAACGATTTATCGGAAACCAATAAACGGGAGACTGCAGCCGGAGGTCCCGGGGATCCGGTGCCGGAATAAGCCCAAAAAAGAGGGGAGGGGGGTGGCGAGGCGGGGTGGAGAAAAAGGAAACATATATAAACATATGCTGCGCGGTTTTCAGCGTCATCGCGCGTTCCGCGACGCGACTTGTATTAGTTTTGGCCCGAATCCCAAGCACACCGCCGCCGCCGCCGCCGTGCCTTTGCCTTTTGAACGCAATAATAATAATAGCCGGCAAAAACAAAACAAGTATCGTAATATTTCCCCCTCTTACAGCGTAATATTATTACGATATTATTGAAAAATATTCAAATATACACAATAAAATATCGCATTTATACCGTTAAAACGGGTTTTAAAAAACACACACACACACATTTCTCTTTTCTCGCCAAAAACAGATTATTGTAAATATGTGCGTATAGAACAATAATTTTACAAGGACGTTCGACAGAGGGTTTTAGTATATAGAACAGTATAGGGTGACCGTGTAAAATTAAAAACAGGACAACATTATTTCAGTAGTACATTTTTTGTTAACTTTTCGACAATTATGACTATATGAACTATTTTAAATATACCTGTACATTTTAGATGTATCATCGCCGGTATCGATTCGCGCGATCATATTATTTTTCATGAATACAATATCGAAATCACCGTCATAATCTATAACGAATATTCTTTTCGACAAATTTATTTTATTCGAAAACAAAATAAAATTTTAACTTGTGTGTCAAAACTATAAAATATTTATATCTAATTAAATAAAATAATAAATAATGCGGAATAATTGGCGTAGACGTAAAAAAACATAAGTCACCCCATACTACAGAACGATACGGTGACGCTATAGCGCCGCCGCGACAGGCAAAAGTCAAGGGACAAACAATGCAATTATCATAACCGTCGGGTCGCAAAACGAGGAGTGGAGAAAACGTAACAGTTACTTGGGGGAGGGGGGCAGTAACGGAATGGATGGGGGCTGAAGAAGATTTAAAAAGTCCGGGGGAGTTTCGACGATATCGGAGAGGGGTGGTTCGAGATAGAGACCGGCGAAGAGTATATATAGTGACGTAGCAAATCTCTTAGGTATGCCAGCAGTAGAATAGGAAGAAGAAGAAGACAAGAAAAATATATGACGTTTAATTAGTGTACATTTATTATGTTTTATACGAAATACGCGGGGTTTTAATTTTGGATTTTTTTTTTTTTTTAATGAATAAGTGTTTTCAATTATGTGTGTTGTATTTTGTATACAAAGAATATTGCCGTTTAATTAAAACGCTTCGGCTTTTTTGTTTCCTGTAGAGTACTGGTTTTAATTGAAATATATTAAATATTATGTTTAATTCAAGATTTTTAATTTTCGACCGAGGACGAACCGAAGGGAATAATGACAAATTGTTTATTATATTATGATATTATAAAAAAAAAAAAAACATGAAATCATTTTACATGATATTAAGAATGGAATTAAATACGAAACAATAGTTAGGTATCTAAACACCGATCACGCGATTAAAAAAAAAATCTTCAAAATTAGAAGTTTTTCAAATCTCGTATAATATGATGAGTATTTAATAAATAGTCATAATATATTAAACGGTTTTTTTTGGCGATTTCGGACATTTTCGAAAGTTTAATTCGTTCAACGTTATAACTAGGGCTCGGATTTATACGCATCAGCATGTTTTTTTTTTTCAACGGTCCAAAAAGTAGCTGGATAAACTACGAGTTTAAATTATAATCAATAGATCCGGAATACAAAGTTTTATTTTGCACGTTTCGTCACTTTTTTTTAAAGCCTACTGCATATGTCGTAGTTTTAGACATTTTTCATTGCAATACGCAAGTGTTTGAAACCCATTTGTTTTACTGTTGTTCGTTGGTTTTGCCGGCATATGGTTCGTAAGGAATGTGTTTTCTTATATTATCTAATCGCTTCTTGACGGAGATAATTCGATCGGGTCGTGTTGTCGTAATCAATTTCGTTTGCATATTTTAACGACAGTCGGCGCATAAATGAACGCGTATTTCGTACGTTTTTAGTGCACGCATGCAATTCCGGGGCCCAGTTACAACAATATAATTCAATCGAGTATTTTGAATAGTGTTCAGAAAATAATAATCATAAAAACCGACGAACGAAATGCCCGTATACGTATGTTTATAACGATGCATTTACATAGCAGGTATACGTAGGGGCAGATGGTCGGATCGTACTTTTTACCCGAATACCAATACTGCGGTACTCCGGTGGAAAGCAGATAATTATCGGACTGCACTCGGGTGAAAAAGTGTTTTAACACATTAGTTTTTAAAACTGCAATATTGTTTATTGGAAATTATTCGAACGCAAAAAGAAACAATAATGTTTAACCGCGCCAACGGTCGAACCGCAAGTGCGGAAAGCGGGGGACTTTTGGTGAACCGCGTTTGTTTTTTCGGACATTCTTGTCAAAAACGCGTTTATAAATCGGCCGGATAGTGCGATTCTTCGGCCTTTTTTTTTTCTGCTCTTTTCGTTGCTCTTCAATTCGAATCCGCCCGCGTGCGATACGCGTGTAGAATGCAATGTTTGTCAATGTTCGTCGCGCGCGTTTTGAACGTTGCGCGCCACCGGTCGGCACCTCGAAAATCTCCGTGACGGCTGCCCGACAGTGATAACATCGTTATTACGGTGTAGGCATTTCAACGACATTTGATCCGAAGGACGGAAACCCGTTTTCGCGCGTCGCCGTCCGATCGGTCGCGGTCGCACGCGAACGCAATATAGCCGACAGCCGTCGTCGCCGCCGTTTTTTTTTTTTTTTACGGCTCTACAGATAAATTGGCGGCGTACCTCGACAGCGTCGTCGCATACTGCTGCGTGCACACGTACACACGCGCAAGTCGCACTCTACAGACGATGACCGGCGGTAAAAATTCATAAACCGCACGGATCGTAAATGCGGTTTCCCCTACCCCCCCCCTCCCACCCGTCGGCCGCCGTCGCGCCATTACCTTTCGCGCCGTCGCGGTCGTCCGGACGGCGTGTACGGGTGCACCGCAGAGGGACGTGCCCGTCTTGCGTTCACGCCGCAAACGCGCCAAAGTTCGGAATTCCGTCGTCGGTACGCCGACCCGTCCCACGGCACGGCACGGCTCGGCCAATTAGACGCGGACCGGCGCGCGTCACGTTGTCGCGAGAACGTTGTAAAAGCGCGTCCGTCGACGAGCCGGGGGGAACGACACGGCAACGCGCAATCAGCGCGCGCGTGCGTTAACGCGTGTACATCCGTTTTCGCGCGTACGACGATTTCTTTCGGACACACGGACGCGCGGGTCGCGATCGAATCGCGCGCACGCGGCAAAAATGGTTATTGGGGAAACAGGGGAAAAAAAAATAATAAAATAATAAAATAATCAATCGCGTATGGCCGCCGTTGATGAACGGACGCCGCAATCGTCCGCGCCGCCGCGCCAACGTACGTTTTAGCGAAGGGGGGGAGAGCGTTTTCATAGAACGCCCTATTCGAACTGAACGGGGCGACCGATCTACCGCGACGCGCTAATTATCTCGAAAAGCAGTGAATTTTTTCCGAACACGTTTCGCAGAACATCCGAGAAACAAGCAGCTCTACGATTTTACGTTGTTCATGTTGTTTCTTTTGATTTCCGTCGACCCGCGGACGAGGTGTTCCGCTTTTGAGTTTGGATCAGGGGCGAGCGACGGAACATCTGCGTTTGCGTGGCGGTACGGAGCGCGGAGTTTCGATTATGGACCACTGACTGTCCCCCGACCCAAAACTTAAGAGTGGAATATCTCGTCAACGGATTGACGGAAATCAACAATTTCAACATAAAAAAAAAAAAAAAAATGTTTTAACTAATATTCCGTCTATTTATGGAATTCTTAATATGGGTTTCCGTTTGAATATCAAAAGTAGGTAATGGTTTTACCCTCAAAAAAAAATAAGAGTGACAAAAAATAACATAAATGTAAGATTGCAGGGCTATTTGTTTTTTAAATGTTCTGTACAAATTTCGAAAAAAGTCAATACTTTCTGAGTGGATGAGTGTCTTACTTTAGATTTATTGCTCTGTATAGAAGTACCTATACATACATATCGACGGTGTTTCGTTTAAAAGGGTGTATACCACTATAAAACACTTTTTTTTTTCAGAAAGCAAAGGAAAACTTTTGCAAAAAATACAGCAAAACAGTAATTAATGAAAACATTATAAAATCGCGGAAAACAATAAAATTACTCGTATACATACAATATCTTTTACAAAAAGTATATACACGCATTGGATGTGATATACGCCCTTTTAACAAATCAGTGTTGATTTAATTGTATTTTAAAAGGGCGCCGGGATATCTTTCAGTCGACTTTACCAACTTATTTTTTTTATTTTTATGCCCCTGATTTTTCTGATTTGTTTCATACTAAAAACGTGTTTTTCAATTTTTAGTGGTGTACGCTTTTTAAAAAAAAAACACC